CATTGAAATCAAATCATATAATTCATCTTTCTTAATCTTGGCATTGAAGGAAGTGTAAAAATAAGTTCTGAAATGGAACACATTTTTAAAAAATATTGCCATTAAATATTTTTTTACGAATGTATCCATCCAGCATAGTTATCATTCGTATTTATAGATTTTATTTTCAAATCTTGTTCCTTCCATAACGCGAAGCCCTTGACATGTCAAATCAAATATGTACACTAGTGGTCCACCACGTCAGGAATCTCTGCGGACCTCACGTTCTGTATAACGCGAGGTTCATGAAAGGTTAGCAATCTCAATGGAAAACGCGTTTTGCATAGCGTGAGGTCATTGCCTAAATAAAGCATCCTCTTCTTGTGGTATTTTAAATTTTAATGTGGGGTCTCTACTTATAAGTGGCTCTTCTTTTGGTGGCATGACTTGATACAAAACTTAGAGATCCTTATGCCAATATTAGTACTATAAGTTATGCTACCCAGAGAGGATGCCATTTATAAGGATGTCGCCCTTTGATTTTCTTCCATCAAACATGGCCTTCTCGAGAAACTTATTGTTTCATGAAAATCACCTTTCTCATGAATCTTCTTCAACATGAATAACCTGACCTTCTCGATAAACTTATCATTTCTCAAAAGGCATCCTCTTATGGTGGCATTAATCATGGTCGTTAATCCAAACAAACATAACATTGAAGGGTTATTGCAGTCGCGGGCTTAGTTTCGAATTTTTTTATGCTTGATTCTTCTTCCATCAAACTCGTCTTTGTCATGAACATTCTTCAACACGAGTAACCTGGCCTTCTTGAGAAACTTATCGTTTGTAAAAAGTCATCCTCTTCTGGTGGCATCCTTTACTTATTGCTAATGACGCTAATATGATAAGTGACACACCTTCACTCGAGAACTCAGGGCTTCCCTCGTACATAGAATTCAGGAAACTTCTCGGGAGATTTCTCGTTCCATCAAACTTATTGTGCTTCTTCATTGTACTACTTTTGCAATTAACAAAATATATTCATTAATTTTCAATTTCTCTTTTTTGAACCATTTTCAACGCGATTTTTACACTGCTTAGAATGTCTCGTATATGCCAATACTAACCTTAATTGAAACATAAATACCAATACTACTCCTCTAATCTTATAAATTACAAAAATTGCAAAAATTTGCAGATTAACTTTCCAAAACTACTCCCTGAACATGCCTATCAAGCCATTTTAGCTTTTTCTTCATGCAAAAAACAAGCTTTGGAACCATTTTGAAAGCGATTTTTACCCCGATTACAATGTTTCTATGTGCCGGTATTACACTAAATTAAAAGATAAGTTACAATACTACACCGCTAATCTTATAAATTACGAAACTTTTTAGATTAACTACCCGAAATACCCCTCTAATATACATATCAAACTATTTTAGCTTTTTCTTCATGTGCAAAAAAAGCTTTGGAACCATTTTCAATGCGATTTTTAACCCACTTACAATATCTCATATGTGTCAATATTGACCTCAGCTAAAAGAAAAATTCCAATACAATGCCTCAAATCTTATAAATTTCGAAAATTTTTAGATTAACTACCTGAAAATACCCCTCGAGCGTGCCTATAAACACTTGCAATTTGGGCCGAAAATCTTTATAACTCGCATTTTACAGAACGCGAGGACTGTTAACGTGACAAATTTCTAAGACATTTCAATATCTCATGACCTCGTGCTACGCAAAACGCGTTGTCTTTTTTAAAAAATATTAAATTGTATTCTCTGAAAAGTGTTTTCTCGTTGGAGAAGTCTCGTGTCTTATAGAACGCGAGGTCTTGACTCGCATTTTGTATGACGTGAGATCATCCAACGCGTGCAGTTTGAGAGGTACTTTTTTCAATTAATGTTATTTGGGGTTACTATTCCAAGTTTTTTTATATAAGGATGCCATATTTTTATGGGTAAAGTTTAAAACCCATCATTAAATTACATTTAAAATGATTTTTCAGATATCACATTTGTAATTTTTTTCAAGAAAAAATCACGTGATCACTTAGAATATTGATTGTAGAATACTTGAATTGATAATATTATAAAGAAATATAACAATTTTCTCAAATAGATGTACTAAGAGCCAAAGGTTGAATTTAGCATAGTGGATTAACCAAAATCAAAATTTGAGCTTTATGATTTATATTTTGGGCGAAACTTATATCAGTCGGCGGGCAGGTAAGCTAGTATTTATCCTGACGTTTCGTGTTACTTCGTGCAGCTTTCTAGAGAGCCAAATCAGCATAAAACTGTTTTTTTTTTCTCGTTTTCAAGTAAATAGAATTGTCTTAATAAAGTGAATGTGTTTGGTCACCCATCTTTTGTTTTTTGTTTTTTTTTACTTTTCCACGACTTTCTCTTCCTCACACCAAAAAAAATAATCTAACTGTAAAAATTTCCCACGTGTTGAATCAATTCAAAGAACCGAACCCTTAACTAACATGTGAGCAATTACATAAGTTTCAGCCAAATATAATCATTTTTAACAGACTCAATTTTTTTATGTATTTTTTTAAAACTGAATTATTATCATTCACACGATACAACCAATAACATAATAATCCATACATAATATTAATAGAGAAACTTATTTAATGGAGAAAAAAAACTTCCGGTTGTTTTCCGATTCCAAATAAATGCGATTTATGGATGAAGTAGAAACTTTATGATTTCAATTTTACCTTCTGTGAATTTTAATCACTGAAAATAAATTTTTTTCAATTTAACCACTAAAATTTTGAATTATTCTTCTTTTGATCATTCTTTTATTAAATAATTAACGATATTAAGACATGAAACACAATATCAAAATGTCATTGTTTTGAATAAAAACAATTAACTTTACACTAAAACGATGTTGTCTAAATTCATGTAAAACCTAATTTTCTCTATTTTTCTTTCATTTTTTCCCTTTTCTCTCCCTCTCATTTCCTTCCCATTGTATATTTCGGCTATCGCTCATCATGATCGACCACTTTGTTGATAGTCACCAATGACGATAGATGAATCATAAAATTTTCCATCAAACTCAGTTTATCTTCCTAAATGTAAATACAGTACCCGTTTATAAAGAAAACACTTCAAATTCCATTAATCTAAATGTTTTAATTTCTTGTTCTTTGATCTGTATTGTTCATAGTTAGGTGATGTCCAAAGGAAAATATGTTATTTTCCCCCTAAAATAGATATATCTATGGTTGGAAAAATTATTAGATGGATCCAGCTCACCATGTCATCCGTGGTCTCAACCTATAATAGTTTCCCATCTCATTTTTTCCAAGGTAAATCTTCACTTCTTTCCTACGTGTAAATAAGGGGTTGACAGTTATTTAGAAGTTATTTTAAGATTAATGGATGTGGTTCACTGAGTAGATAACGTGGTGAACGAATCCATAAAATAATTTCTCCTACGATTTCAAATAAAGATAAATCATAGAACACTTAATCAATTGGTTGTTCGCACCGGCTTTCTCGCTTGTACGCTCAATCCAATTCTTGTTTGGTCGAGCTCTCTCTTGGTCGCCTATAGTTTCATTATGGCGGCGTTTGAAAAGCATGGACCAATGAAATTAGATCATCTAGATGTAATCTTTTACTAATACCTTCTCAAACTTTTGCTTATTATGTTTTACATTTTTCAAAATTAAATATATTAGAGTTAAGATCAATGATTTAGTCGTGGATTAATATTCGATTAATGGTTAGTTTATAAAAAACAAAACGAAACTTAAACAAGAACAAAAATAATATACGATAGACTGATTAATAGAAACTTTAAGTTTGTGAAAAAAATTAAAAATTATATAAATAAAATACTACTTGATGCCTATATAACAACTCAGAAAATAATACAAAATATTATGTTATCACAAAACTGAAAAATAAGTGATAAAAAAAATTCAATCTTTAAAATTGAGTGATTAAGTTAGAAAGATTAATATTTTAATGTTTAAAATTGGGGTGAGAGGGATAAAAAAGATAATACCAACAATTAAGTTGAGTTTGATTCACACACCCCACACTTTACATAAAGTTGATTAATAGATTGAAGATTTGATTTATTAAATTTGAGTACATCGCCCAATGCCAATTTCCAGTGGGCAACCAACTCAAAATCCAATCAAATCTACTGCCGAAGCTCTTGTCTACATGCATGTATTACGCTTCACCGCCACCATCTCTTATTATTACATTACCCCCTACAAAACCAAAACTAAAGCTCTTGTCTACTGGCATAGATCTGGGTATAGACTCCAACTGCACCGCTTATGACTTGAATGGCGTTTGACGGTGTCAGTATTTGACTTTTAACGAATCTTCGTTTCCAAGTCTTTTCACTTTTTAAAAATGGTAAACTGAACATTGAGTACCTCCAACTATCACTTTTATTCTGTTTTGGTCATTCATTTTTTTTAAAAATTATGTCTAATATTTAACTTTGGTTTCATTTTTGTCACTCATTATTAAAAAATTAACACTAATGTTTACGTTTTATTATAAGATAATGTCACGTCGTTATTGAAAAAAATAAAAAATAACATGTTAACAATTCTATTAATTTTTTAATAATATGTGACGAAAATAAAATCAAAATGTAAAATTAAATATGATTTTAAAAAATAATAAAATGATCAAAACAGAATAAAAGCAATAATTAAAATAGTGGACGTGTAGTTTTCCCTAAAGAAAGCACAACTCATTATGGCTTGCAATGGGAGGACACAGATCAGTCTGCCTCTTACTAATTCATAGAGTCAATTTCGGTTTCCTTGACCGACTCCTCTTAGCCACCAAGAAAACTCAAATAAACGTGCTCCGTCCCCTTTTATATTGCTTATTTCCCTCTCACCACACCGTTGCTTTACTTTCCCACCACTTGTCACGCAACTTCCATTCCCCTACAATCCCCCCCCCTTTTCTCTCTTTAAAATCCCCACAATTCACTCTGACTCGAAACTCAAACCCAAAGCTTTAAACTTCCCTTTACCATCTCGCTCGCCCGAAGACTCTTCCTTTGAACATGGCTTTAGAAGCTCTCAACTCTCCCACCGCTGCGCCACCTCCGTTTCCCTTTGAAGATACTAACTTACACTGCTTGGAATCCTTTACCAAGCGTAAGCGCTCTAAGCGACCGCGTTTCGACCAAGTCACCACCGAGGAAGAGTATTTAGCTCTCTGCCTTATCATGCTAGCACGCGGTGGAGCTTCCACCAACCGCAATCGCCGCCGCTCTCCTACTCCAGCACCGGAGCCCTCCTCCTCGGGGAAGAAACTGAGCTACAAGTGCAGCGTTTGCAACAAAGCCTTTAACTCTTACCAGGCTTTGGGTGGACATAAAGCTAGCCACCGTAAGCTTTCGGGTGGCAACGAAGACCAGTCGACGTCGTCAATCGGTACATCTGGTGGAGTCATCAATTTAGCCGCGGCTACCAACCCAAGCGGGAGGTCCCACGAGTGTTCCATCTGCCACAAAACGTTCCCTACAGGCCAGGCCTTGGGAGGCCACAAGCGATGCCACTACGAAGGTGGGGCGGCGGGGAATAGCGCCAGCGCCAGCGCCGTCACTACATCTGAAGGAGCTGGCTCAACCAATACCACCACCCACATCAGCAACCGAGGCTTTGACCTCAACATGCCCGCGTTGCCAGAATTCTCACCGGCTAATTTCTTTGTTTCCGCCGCCGGCGACGATGAAGTCGAAAGCCCGCACCCTGCTAAGAAGTCATGTTTCTTTATGCGACCCAAAATTGAAGTCATCTGAACAATCAAAACCCTTTATTTAGTTCTTTGTAGGAATCAATTTCTAGACACCATTCCATGTATTTCTTCTTTAATTTCTTTATTTTTAGGCAAATTTTTTCTGTACATAGCACTTGAACAATTCTTCAGACCTCTGTTTCGATTAATTAAGTAGTCAACTCAATTCAATTAAAACAAATTAGTTCAACTCCTCTTTCTTACTTAATTTCAATGCTTTACTGTTAAGTTGGTGGTGGGTGGCAAGAAGCAAAAGTGCTTGAAGCTTAAGTTCGGTGCATGGAAGTGACGGGTGTTTTTAACAATTCACAGTTTGGTGGTATATTTACAGAGACGAAAACCAGATTATACAGGTTAAAAGTTTATATGATAAGAAGATAGGCATGCATGGGATGGGTTTTGTTTTGGCACGCCGTTTTCGTTTTGGAAATTGATTGGTATTGATGGGTGGGGGAATACCCCCCCCCCTTTTAATTACCATGCAATTGCCTAATCCTAATACTAAGGTTGAAAACGTAACGAGACATGCATATCCTAAATTACTTGAATCCTATGCACGAGTTTAATTAGTTCAAAGTTTAATCAATATTTAAATTAAACACATTCATTTAAACTCTAATTCTACTCGAGTTATTGACAAATTAAAGAGAACTAGTTAATATTCAATTTAAATTAAAACCTTGCAAACAACTTAAAAAAGTAATATATTAAAAATTTAATTTTTAAATTAAATTATTAATAACATCAACATTTATATATTATACATTTTTAAAAAGATGTAATTTAAGGTTTTCTTTTACTTAAGGCTTAGATTCTAGCTCGAGTTCCAACTTCAATCGAGTTAAGTCTGAGAATATTTTGAATTCAAATATTTCAAACTCGACTCGAGTTTCAATTTTATTTCGATAGCTAGTAGAACTTAAAAATTTTAAACTCGCGAGTTTACAAGTCGTGTTGACTTCATATCAGGATGGGCATGGGACCCGAACCGACGGGTTTCTACCCTAACCGACGGGTTCCAGTAGGGTCGGATTTTTAAATAAATTCAGGTTCGGGTCGATTTTTTTAAACCTATGTTCGATTTGAGTCGGGTCGAGTTCGTGTTTAGGTTAAAAAATACCCGACTTGACCCGACCCCCAAAAATTATAATTTTACCTTATATATTTAGGGATAATTACAATAATACCACTATATATATTATTTTCTTTTAATCAAATCCCTATTTTTATTGAATAAAAATAATATTGTTAAATAAATATATTATTTTGGGTCAGTTCCAATCGGGTTCAGATTTTATCTCAAAAATTGAGTCGGGTTCAGGTTGGGTGGAAGGTGTATATTTTTTGAGTTGAGTTCGGGTCAGGCGAAGGATTTATAATTTTTGGGGCTGGTCGGGTCTACCCCACCCGATTCGATCCATGCCCATCCCTACTTCAGATTTGAACTTTTCAAGTCGAGTCGAACTCAATAATACTCATACTCAACTCAGTTTATTTAGAGTTCTATAAGTGTCGAATCTAGAAACATTTTATAGGTTGCGCCAATATAAACATAATAAAAATTTTATCTTATTTAAAGAGTCATGGATGGGATTAGTTTTCTTGTTTGCGATTACTTTTTGTTATGCAAGTATTATTTGTGTACACGACGTGTGAAGTGTGAAAGCTGTATCTAGCTAGTACTCATATGGGGTGCGTTCCCTTGTTTTACTGTCTTCCATGTGCCAATTCGGGCGTTCCATACGCGAATTACAAACTAAAGCCAGTTATTCTGATATCACCATCTCAACAAGCCCTTGTATAATTAATAATTAATAAATTTCGAATTATTCACTTTTTAGTGATCAAGTGGTACTTATACAAAAGTATCTGCACTTGAACTTTTCTCCATCAATCTGTAAATACAATGGATATTTTTTTTCTTCAACAATGTTGAGATTTCATCTTTTAATTTCTTCAAACGTTTTGGCCTCCAAGTTGACCCTTGACACTGTTTTACTTACCCACTTTTCCTCGATTCTCATAAGATTGTTCATATTCTTATTTGTTGTTTAACTTTTACCACTGCATTATATTTCTCTTCATTCTTGGTTTCACTACAGCCTAGTGACAATACTAGCACCGTCTTGTGATCCAAAGGTTCTAGAATCCCTTCCTTTTGATGCTCCATCTCCTTGGAAATACTTCATACCTACCATTGTCTGCGAGATTGAAGAATTCATAAGTACCTTTTTGTAATCACCAAAGAACAAAAAAAAAAAAAGACTGTGATCTGATCAGGTGGGTACAAATAAAGACCATATTGCTTTACCATTTGTGGAAAATGAGGAATTAATTTCTTTCAGTCGACTCCGCAGATTCTCTTCTGTTGCTTTTCGTTTTTCTCACAACAAATGTTCTGCCAAAAGAGATTGAAATATACAACTTTTTTTTAATTGAATTGAAATATAAAACTTTAACACAATATGATGTATGCTTACTTTTAGCCTTAATTAGAGTACATCCTTCCTTTTACCTCAAAAAATTATATCAAATTGTCAACAATCTTTAGAGCTGCTGGTTAGAAAGCTCTCACTTGAGGAGTGCTACATCAATAGCCGCATATTAAACGTGTAACATCCTTAATTCCGGGTTAGTAATTCGGGTCAATCCGAAACCCGTAATTTGAGCCCATTAGATCTCCTAGATTAGTTCTTAAGGGTTTTGGGCTTCAGTTGGCCCAAAATTTTGGAGCAAATGATAGTTTTAGTATGGGTTATAAAGGTGAGGGACCAAAAGTGTAGTTTACCCATTGCTTGTTTTAAAGGATAAAAACCCCTGATATCCATTGTTTTTCACGTGAACCATTCCCCAAAAGTAGCTTCTCTTCTCTTTTCTTCTTCCTTTCCAAGAGCAAACAAAATAGTAGAAGCTTTTTGAAATCCAAGCTTAGTTTGAATCAACCAAGGTAAGAATATTAATCTTTATCCCTTAAGCTTCATTTCAAGCCCTTAATCTCACGTTTTGGTGTTGGTTTTAGAAAATAGGCTTTTGGGAGTTTAGAAGGAACCAAGAGTTTTAAGCTCGTTTTTTGGTAAATTCGAGTTATAGAGAGTGTTTTTATGTTAAATCCAAGTGCCTAGTTTAGTTGGTAATTCATTTCTTACCTTAATTATAGAAGGAGGTGGGAGAGAGTTCAAAAGCTAAAGATAAAGGAAAGGTGATTTCCAAGTTGAGTTGAGAGAGATTTTAGCAGCCAAGGAAGCCAGATAACACACTCACAACTTCCTCATATCAATTGTGGGTCATTAGAAATGAGTTTTAGCATGAGCGTTGTTGTTGAAACTTGTTGAGTATAGCTTTTGGGAGTTTAGAAGGAACCAAGAGTTTTAAGCTCGTTTTTTGGTAATTCGAGTTATAGAGGTGTTTTATGTTAAATCCAAGTGCCTAGTTTAGTTGGTAATTCATTTCTTACCTTAATTATAGAGGAGGTGGAGAGAGTTCAAAGCTAAAGATAAAGGAAAGGTGATTTCCAAGTTGAGTTGAGAGAGATTTTAGCAGCCAAGGAAGCCAGATAACACACTCACAACTTCCTCATATCAATTGTGGGTCATTAGAAATGAGTTTTAGCATGAGCGTTGTTGTTGAAACTTGTTGAGTATAGCTTCATGGTAGATTTCGTGTTTGGTATTATTAGAATGTTCAAAAGCTTTATTTATGACCCCTTTAATCACATAAGACTTAAGAACTAATGGGGAAACCTCAAGGTACGAGATTTAGGGAGTTGGGTGGCAAATTCGTTCCCATATAGAGCATTTTTAAGGGTTGGTATCGATACTGCATGAAGCAATATCGATATTGTTCTTATGGTATGCTTAAATCAAGAGTTTTTAAAGAGCAGTATCGATACCCCTTAAAGGATTATCGATACCAAGGGTTCGGTATCGAGACTGAGGGGCTTGGTATCGAGACCGGGATTATAGAAAACCATTTTGGTATCGGTACTCTAGAAAATATCGATACCTAGGGTCCAAGTAACAATATTCCCACATGCGTATCGATATTTCCCCTTTTCTAGCAAGGTAAATCAATGTTAGCGTATTGATACTTAAGAGGCAGTATCGAAATTGTAAGGCCAGTATCGATACCAAGAATTGGTTTTGGATTGTAAAGAAGAGATATTTTAGAGACAAGTGAAGTTTCCCAAAAGCTTAATAATTACTCTCAAATAAGATTACAACTAAGAAAAGTAACGATGTTTATTTCAAACGTAGAAATGAGATAAAGTAGGGTGAAATAAGACTAGCCTTGTTTGTGTTCTCAGGAAACGACCAGGAGACAAGAGTTCCTTTAGAAATGCTAGCAGTGTTGAAAGTATAGATTAAATCCGAATATATCCTTAGGGAGTGCTCAAGGCACTTTAAGCTAACTAAATAAGGCCAAGGCCTAACACTCACAAGGGGCATGTATATACCCACTTTTGTCTGGGTTATTATTATTATTGTTATTATTATTATTATTATTATTAATATTATAAATAATAATAATAATTATAATTTATATTATTATTAATTTTTCTTTTCAAGTTACAACAAGCCCAACATCAGTAACCAGGCCCAAACAGAAAACCATACCCGAGTCTAAATTGATCCAAACTCAGGACTATTCCAAAACCTTAACTAGATAGGGTTTCTAACCCTAGTCTTCTGCCGCTACCTCTACTACCAAGGGAAAGGAAGGATGCGCCGCCACCATAAGCCGAAGCCACACGAGTCGCCGCCAATCACTCCCTGAACTGTCATCGTCAGCAATCAGACCGAACATTACCCACGGACAAACAAATCAATCAATCAAAGAAAAAATCAAAAATAATCCAGAAAAATATGGGGCATTCAAAGCCTCGATTTTCCTCACCTGCTGCCAATCACCCTCTGTCCCTATCCTAACCAAATCAAGCCACAATATTCCATCACAAAAAAAGAAAGAGAAACCTTTTTTTATATCAAGAGGAGATGAGGGTTTTAAAAGAAAAATAGAGGGAGGAAACAGAAAGGGTTTTTCTTAGAAAGAAAAATAATGGGTCAAAAAAAAGAGGAGAAGAAAAGAGGAAACTTACCTTCTAGCCTTCAAGCTGAAGATCCGTGCGGTGAGAAGACTCACCCTGTGGCTGGCAAGCATATACTTAAAACACAACGCCATCAG